GCTCAGGCCCCCTTCTGATTGCCCGCTTTCCGATTCCTCGCGGTCATTTTCTTAATTGGATGGAGCTGTAGGGTGTCATCGTGGCGTCAGATCTGGGTCCCCCACGGTGCCAGGTGGGTACTGAGATCCCGGGGCCTCCGCACCCCGGGCGCGCAGATCCCACAGATCCGTCCCCTCTCTCCGCCACCGCCCCCCCCCTAGCCGTGGACTTGCTAGCTAACTAGTGTGTATCGGGGTATTTTTTTCTCCCTACTTGCCTTTTAAGATGACTTTTATGGTTCCTGCAACTGCTTCCCTCCAGTCTGAACTGTAGTTTAGGAAGATTTAAGAGGCCAGAAGGTGCTTGTGTGGGTTTTAACCAACCCGAGACTGTCATTAATGTATCTTTGCGCTCGGGCGAGATGTCCCGGGTGCTGTGTAGCAGTTGCAGGGCTTGTTTTCACGGGGATACTGCGAGGTCCTTCCTGGTGAGAGACAGGCCTGCCTGCGAGGGGACATCCTCTTGGCCCACCCTTGAACTGCAGTTCGAGTGCCCCGCACTTGAAGGGCACCCCACGCGCCTATATTTCTGTTCACAATGCAAACTGCCAGCTGATGTCCACCTGGAGGGGACATCGACAGTCTCCGTGGATACCTGGGAACTCACAGAACTTCCCAAAGGTGCGAAGAGGAGGACTTGGCGCTCTGGGGGTCACCCAGCCAGCTTTGAAGTTGCTTTGTCAGTCCTGCCTTTGTACATATGTAAGTAAAAATGGTCAAAGTTTGTTTCTGCCAGGTGAAGTTCCCAGGTGGGCGGGGTAACACCTCAGGTTTCATCGTAGCTGTGGGGTCTAACTTGGGAGGAGAAGAAGCCAGTCCTTAACCATCCTTAGCTGTTAGAAACTGTTCCATCAAGGCTGATGGGCCTGCCTGGTTTTGAGTTTTGAGACCTAAGGTAGCCACTGCTCCCATTTGTTTTAAAGTGAATATTATTTTCTAGCATTTTCCTGATGGTTTTGTAATTGCTTATCCAGCCATGCATGGCCCTTGCCAGGCACCTGCTGGGCTTGGAGCAGAATCTGGAGACACTTGGCCACCTGTGACTGGAAATTCCAGGGCCCACACACGGAGCTGGCTCTCAGGTTGGGATAGAGCTACAACCCTTTGGGGGTGGGAAAACAGGCACTAGGGGTGGTGTTTTCTTCCTCTCACCTGTGTGGGAGGTGAGTCTTGAGTCTCTGGCCCACTTCGTGTGTGCCATTTGTTCTCTGCTTACTTAGGTCACTTCCACCCCCATCCAGGTGTTTCCTACCAGGGAGACATTTCCTGCTCACTATCCAGAGATATCTGGATATCTCTGGATAGTCAAGGTCTGGAATGATTCTCAGGTTGGAGAATGGCAGACTAATGGGACTACCAGAGATTTTACACAACTTCTATTTTTAAATTTGCCTTGTGGCCTGGAGATATTGAGCAAGATAGCAAGGTTGCACTTGGAAAGTATAGCTTCTTTCTAGGTGGGAGGCAGTTGATAAAAGGAAGAGGCCATTACATCTCAGGTTCAGTGCCCCTGTCAATACTGATGCTGGGTGTAGGCTCCTCATATGACTCAGTCACCCAGGATCCTGCATGTATGGCCAGGGCCTGGCCCAGGCTGGGGCTCAGTTTGTAGAATTGAGGAACCTGGATCTGTACTTGGGAAGCTGAATCAGGAGTGCTGTGTGAGGCCAGCTTGGGATACATAGTGAGTTCAAGGCCACCCTGAACTATACAGCGAGACCCTGTCTCAAACAACAATAACAAAAAACTCTGAATCTGCAGGGTCTCAGTTAATGGTGGTTGATTCAGCCCTTTGACTTCAAAGCTGGACAGGGACCTTAGAGATTATTTAAAAAAGACAAAAGCAGGAAGAACGCTCCCTGCCCAGGATCACACAGTAAACAACAGGCAGTGCTCAAACCTGAGTTCCAGAATCTCTTTCCACGTCACCGGTCGTCACTACCTCTGTGACTGCTGGAACTTCCCAGTCAAACTCTGTTCAGAGAGATAGCTCTGAAAACATGAAACCCCAGTCTTGTGCTACATGCAGGAGCCTGGGAGCCTGCCTGGTAAATTGAGTTATTTTCCAGGCAAGTGATGCACACTGACCTGAAGGATGTGACAGGCCATTGTGACTTGTGGAAACTGGGTGCTTCTGGCTGTTTTAATACTGACTTCTTCAAAGTCCAGCAGTTCAGCAGGGTGGAACTTTAGTCATTGAGATGTTCCCAAATTACCATTTTTTGATCTGGAATACTTTATTTCTACTTTGTACTTATGTGTGGCTAGATGGGAAGAATGGGGACATAAGGAAGGGCCAGAGACCCAGACAAATCTCCATCCATGGATTAGAAGTGCTAGAAAGTCAGTCTGTGTTCCTAGAGGTCTGGTAATGTGGATTTGGGAACATGTGGATTTCTTCTACCATCCTACTTTGTGCTTGTTTTGCTTTGTCCATTGCTGAGCCCCTGTAGAACTGGACCCTAGTGGATCTTCATAAATACTTGTTAAATGAACGTCCTGGACATTAGGAAAAGGATTTCTTTCCCAGAAGGAACTGGGAATGACACAGGCAGGGATGGGGAGGTGATTGATAGAAGCTGCAGAGTTGTGCTATGATTCATTGTTTCAAACTAGCTCCAGACAGGTGAGGCAGGAGGGGGCTGGGAATAGTAGAGATCCTGCCTGGGTGGAGCTGCTGGGTGGAGACTGGAAAACAATGGAAAGGTTTTGAAGGTTTTGAATTGGACTCAGATTTGAGAATAATCATGTGTCCTGGACCTGGATTATGTTACATGCTTTGTAGGCAGCCTCTCCCTTAGTCCTCCAAGAGGAGACACAGGGTTATCCTCACTGGTAGCCCAGGAAACAGCCCAGAGGAGTTGTACCTGTCCAAGGCCACAGAGCTGGTATCTGAAGCCAGGGACTGGCTTCAGACTTTGCTCCCTAGGGTGATGATATGGTCAGACATCTCTGCCCCTGCCAAAGAGCTAGGCCTTCTGAGCGCTGAGTGTCCAGAGAGGGTGGCAAAAGAAAAGCCGGAAGATTTGTGAGTGTGCAGCACAGCGAGCCAGGTCAGGGAGCATGCACGTACCTTCCTCTGCCAGGGCCCTCACTGTGCTTGAAGTTGGTTCACCCAGTGAGGATGGACAGGAAGGCTTATTTCCTAGGGCCTAATTGTTCTCTGGCAGAGAGTGGTATTCCCAGTCAGGACTATTTTATACTTGATAAAACTTTAGGATACCTTTTATTTTTAATTGGAAAAGGTTGCTTTCCAACTTGAAGTTTCCATACATGTGCAAAGCATGCTCTCTACCCCGGAGCCATACCCCAACACAGGTAACACATACTTGGAACTGATGCAGTGTTAAAGCAGAGTAGTATTGCGCTTGTCCCTGAGGTCTCTGGATGAGCGCCCTGGTACAGACCTTCCCTTCCTGCGCAAGACTGACCCCACCTACTGTGGATCACAGCAGCAGCAGGCCCTGGATAGCCTGGATTTACTAGATGCTGTGCTGGCCCATCCTTAGTGCATTTGCAGTCTCCCTGGGAGGCAGACATTAAACTAATAATTACACAAATACTCTTTAATTACAGTTGTTATAAATGCTTCAAAGGAAAAAGTTCAGAGGCGCAGGAGCCATAATCAGGGATGAGGGAGGAAGGGACGCTGTCCTGAAGAAAGGGCATTGAAACAGCTGCCTGGAGGGGGAGGGGCAAAAGCTGCACCCCAGAGGTACTGTGCACAACCTGGTGCAAGCTTTGCTGTTTTCTTTGTGGTCTGACGACTAGCTTCGCCTGGCCTGGGAGCATGGTGCAGGTGTAGGATTTCGGGCCCTCAGTGGACCTGCAGAATCTACATCTCAGGGATTCCTGTGCAGGGTGATGTCTGATGGACTCAAGGACTGACCAGAAAGTTCTCCGCCTTGAGGGGGGGTGTTCAGATATCCTCAGGCAGGTAATAGGGAAGTAGTTAATCTCACACTTCCTCTCTGATGATCTCTGGGCTGCTGAGGGCAAGGCCCTGGGCTTTCCCAGTGTCCGCCCCTGTGACACTGTGACCTCTGTGGGAGCCTGCAGGCTCTGGTCTAACATCAGTGAGCAGGGCTCTGAAGAAGGATCAGAATCCTTTGCAGGTGTGGGGAGCTTTGTCACAGAGGGGTTCTCTTTAGGAGACTCAGGGAGGATTTTTTCCTGAAGCAAGAGAACTGGCAAGGGTCAGAAGGGCTTTGGTGAAGAGAAGTGTAACGTTTCTGCCAAACGGAACCTAAAACGGGGGTGGAGGGGAGAAACCTGCTCGGTAGTTCTGTGTTCCTGGGAATGTGATACTGTAAGAATTGCCTCCCAGGCCTGAGAGGCCTGTCACTGCAGCCCTCTGTGTCACTGTAGAGAAGCCTGAGACCAGGGGTCCTTGATCCTTGCAGGGTGCCTGTGGGCTTCTGGACCATGTGTCTGGAGGTAACCAATACATGCACTTTTCTGGGGACAGGACCTGTGGTTTCACCAGCTCCAAAGGGGTCTGTGGCCCTAAGAACTAGAATCGAGCCTTTCCCAACGTACCTTCCAGCTCTTGTTACCCAGCACTTTCTCTGTGCCTGGCAAAGTGCTAGCAGTGCCTTACCTGCTACTTGCTCATTCGCAATGAGAACCTATTCTGGAGTCACATGCCCCAAGGCCCCCAGAGTCCCTGCTCTTGAAGCCTGCTCGTGACAGGGCAGCAGGACAAGGGGCAAACTCTTCTTGGTAGCACAGATTTTGAGATGACAGACTCCCCCCCCACATGTGTACAGACAAGTAAGGGTCCCCAAAATGTTCCTCCAAAAACCAGAATTTTCCCAAGGAAACAAGTGTCAAACAGCTCCAGGTTGCCACACAAGCCGGGGAAAGCCCATGTCACTTTTGGGCCCAATTTATGCTTGTTTGCAAGGAAAATATTAGAAGTTAAGATTACCGCAGCATTAAAGACTAAATTTTTTGTTTGTTTGTTTGTTGTTTGTTTTTTGAGACAGGTCTCACTATGTAGTTGAGACTGACCTGGAACTCACTATGTAGCCCAGGCTGGTCTCGAACTCACAGCGATCCTCCTGCCTCAGCCTCCCGAGTGCTGGGATTATAGGTGTGCACCACAATGCCTAGCTAAAGACTAAATTTTTTAAAATCTGGAATCAGAAGGAAGGCACTTAAAGAATTGTACCCTTAAAATAGGGGGTGAGATGGTGACAGGAAATTGGTAGATTCTGAGGGGGAAGGTTGAGAGGATGCTACAGCCAAAGCAGGGCCAAATGGGTGCTGGGTCAGCAGCACCAGATGGTAAAATAACTGGTTTTATTACCTACTAATTCATGTGTGGAGTGCCCCATCCTGACCCTTACCCCATCCCAAGGGCTTACTCCAAGGACAGAGGCCTTTGTCTTCCCTTTTATTCATTTCTGTGTTCTTTGAATTTTTATTTGTATGTAGTTTCTTTGTAATAATGCACTTGCATGTTTGGAAATGGAGTTAAAGGACTATATGAAGTGGGTTGGCCTCAAAGGAGGTTTTAGTTCTTTTACAACTGCCACTGTGACAGAGTTTCTGATAATGCATGTTCTATTGTGTGTTTCTAGAAGTGCGCAGGGAGCTGTGGGAAATGGGAGGATGTTCAGTGTGGTGGGAAGGGGTAGGGGATCATATGGTATCCCAGCTCTTCCCTCTTTCTTCCTCCTTGCTTCTGCCTGGTGTGA